ACGTGTTATAAAACTAGAGAGAAAGAGAGATAATAGAGAAAATGTTTCTCTTAGGTACAATTTTCATTATAACTGAAGCTCCTACTTATAGGAAACTTCTGATGGCACAACCATAATAATACAATTACATCAGGGGCAAAATAGTCATTCACATACATAAAATTAATGGTGGTGGACCATATATATTTGTAACAGAAATCACTATTTTTTTCTTTTTTGAAAATACTAATATCCATGCATATTTGTGTTGGGGAATACAACTGTTTATGTAAAATTGATGAATTTGTTTGATATTGTTGTTGTAATTGAAAATTGGGGAAGGAGGGATAAATAATTAGAGAAGGATAGACAGCTTAGGGCATCCGCAACGCATTTTTACCCCATTTAAATGGAGGGTGGGCCGTTAAGTGGGATGCAAAGCACTGCCTCACCCTAATCCATTCAGTCCATTAAACGGTATAATGCTGTCTTTTTTTTACTTTTTTTTTCTTTTTAATATTTACCTCAATATTTAGATGTCCATTGTTGTAGTTATCTTTTTTAAATATGTGGGCCCCCAGACTATTCATTTTTAATTATATTGAATGAGTGGATAGTGAGTCCCATATATATGTATTTAAATGAATGGATAGGAATGTAGGTGAATGTTTATATGATGTTTAAATGGAAAGATGTTTAGTGAAATGATGATGTGAACACGAGTGGATGAGAGAGAGTATAAATTGTGATTGAATGAATGAATAAGAATGTGGATGACGAGAGATAAAGAGAAAAAGGAAGGGAAGATAATTTGTTGAGGAAGGAGAAAGAAATAGTTAGAGAAGAATAGACAACTTAGGAGAGAGAAAGAGAAAAGGAGGGAAAGATAATTTGTTGAGGAAGGAAAGAGAAATAATTAAAGAAGGATAGAAAACTTAGGAGAGAGAAAGAGAAAAATGAGGGAATTTTTCAAACGATAGATTTCAATAACATAAAACACGTAATTACATACTAGAAAATAACTAAGTAGTCGAATAAAACAGATACTCGGTTGAATTTAGTTGGGAGGACTAACCCCATAGACATCTAGCCCGAGACAACCTAAAATCAACATAAACACATAACACCAAACTAAAAAAACAGCAGCTCCCACAGGAGAATACAACAACTCCCAATGAGAGAATAACACCAAACTAAAACACACAACTAACCAAGATCACAAAAACAGACTCACAAAAAGAAAACCACTACAAAAAGGGAAAAAGAATGCCCTACGGGCAGGGAAAGCCAGCTCTAACACGACCCAAACTAACACCCAAGCGCAAACACCCGAGAGGAGATACAAGAACTAAGACCCAAACACGACGGAACCAGAAACTCCCCTAATGGGCTAATTGAAACTAGACCGCAAATTCAACACCCGCCCTCGGAAATCCACAGACCCGCCTATGCCGGTCTACTCCACAACCCCTCCCACGCAAACACCAGGCCATCACGCACCCACGCACGCGCAGCCGGAGGACCGCACCTTCCTAACACCGGGGAAGGCCAGAGAGGGGGGGCGACCAAGGCTAGGCCGCCGCGACGGGCATCCACAAAGATACCCGCGACGTCCGTCCTGCTAGCGAAATTCGTCGTTTCTCGCACTCCATGGCACTTGGGAAGAAAGATGAACCATTTTGGAGAGGAAGAATCACGAGACCGCCACAACCACATGTTGTCGAGCCAGGTCGAGCCAGCTGCTCGCCGGGACTGCAGGAACTAGGGCCGCCGGAGGGGAGGCACAATAAAGGAGAAAGAAAGCTAGGGCTCGGAGGACGAGAATTTGGAAATTTTCTGGAGAGAGAACAAAGACATGGTTGTAACCAGAATTAATTTTACTTTGGGAAAGATAATTTGTTGCATAATCGAATTACGCTATTTGTTTTTTCATTTCTCAAAGCATATTTGCTATCAGGAAAAACACCAATTGATTAATAGTTCGATGGTTGCTCTATCTTACAAAACACTCTGTAACGACAAATAAAACTTGACTTTTAGTCCTTCCACCGATAAAGTGGATCAATTTGACAGGTTGTCCAGTTAGATATGTTAGTCGGTGGTCACGTGTACGGAAAAAAATTAAAAAATAGTATCTACGATAGCAACCCGTCATAGGGACCAACTTTTTTCTGGTGGAAAGACCAAAAGTCATATTTTTTGCAACTATAGTGTGTTTTGTAAAGTCAACGCACTGTTTCTCGATTAGGTGTCAGTTATAAGACTAAATATTCAATTTTTATATATGATATTACATCCAACTAACACAAAAATAAGAAATGTGATTGATGAGTCTTTACTAAGATCCTTGTAGAATCGGTTGGTATGAGCTCCGATCTACCTGAATTGTCGCGCGTGTATCTGCAAGAATTCCACGCCGGAAGGGATTTCGGCGAAAAGCCTCTGGTGCTTAAATTTTTTTAGTTTCAGAAAGATGATGGTGGTGCTCTGTAAATGAGAGTGGTTTGTAACGTATGGGAATATAAAAAGTTGGAGTTTGGTGATACCTCAGTCCTTTTATAGAAAAATAGATGCCCAAAATGTTCTGCCCGAGTACCCGTGGGCAACCTGCCCGAATGTCCTGACTTAATGCTCATCCATATCCTAATCATCTCCTAGTCATCAATAAATTCCATCTTATCTCCTTAAAATTCCTTCTTATCCTGTTTCCTAGCCTACTCAGGTTACAGTCCACACGCCGAGGTGTATTGTAATCTAGGTGGTTAGGTCATCTGATACCTTCCTATTGTTGGTGTATATAGTGCAAACTTGGCTTTGGATTTAGTTACACTATTTCTGTTGAATGAGAATCATGTTTGATTAAACAAGTTCTATGTTCTGTCATTTTGCACTTAGATTGTTACATCGTAGATGGAAAGAAGATCATCTTAGCAGTCACTTGCGAAACAAGAATGATTGGTTCACAACCTAGATGGAATGAACAAACCATCAGAACGATTGTAGTGTCAACCGTATAGTTGACTTTGACTGATTAGTTGCACTAGAACATTTTATGTATTGAACATGATCGCAGAGAGGAGCAATTTGTTTTATACTTATTGTCGTAAACGAACTAGGACTCAATTAAATACTGTGTTCTCTTAACCCGTAAGATGTAAACAGGCATGTGCACGCAGTAGCTCTTACTTTGATTCACCAAATGCGAGATCCATTTTGATGGATGAATAGTCTTCGTGTTTTGGGCATAGTGTTGCGAGTATGATGTGTTGATAAAATATTTACAGTCACCACGTGCGTTAGTCTGATGATGCCCCCAAGTGAGCTTATGATGGGTTATTATGTTAAACCCTGCAAGTGGATTAAATTCTGACATAACAACAAATATTTGAGTGGTACTAGCTTCGGTTCAAGATGTCGATTAATTCTTGAATGTCAGTAATCGAATTAACTTATGGACATTATATCTTAAACGTGGGGTGATAATTTGGGTCATTATTATTGGAGTCTCGAATATAACTTGTGAATGATAAGAGGTGCAATAATATTTTATTAGTGAACTGAAACACCAGATAAGTTATTGAGCAGAGTGGGCTTGGCCCACATTTAGCCCCAATACTTAAGAAGCCCACGTCATCACCTTCTTAGGGTCCCTCCTATAGCTTTATAAATACATCATTAAGCTCTTGTGATTGGACACACATAAACAAATGCCTCACGCATAATCGACCGACCCTAGTTCATATTGAGCTTTATCTCCTAGATTTGTTGCTCCACCGAGACAACCAGAGAGGTGTCTGAAAATATAGCAGAAGTCCCCAAGGTAAACGAGACATAGGAGATCATCCACAAACCACCGCGTATGATTAGGCATCCCCGACGAGCCACCGCGTGCGACCAGGCCCGCAACAACGATTGATCGACATGGAGTCCCGATGACCACCGCGCACAGCCCCGACGCAGAACTGACTCGCGTCTTCTTCGCGACTCCTGTAGACGACCCGTTTCGTCCACCTACAACCAGCGAAGTTCTCGCGTGCTCATCCCGGCGATTGTGACCTGTACACTGCGACCTGACATCTGCGAAGGCCTACTGCAGTCGCACGGCGTTTTCTTGGAGACCCCGAGATGCCCGAATGAGGCTATTTCCGGTGAGTGAAAAATCACACGATCTCCATTAACGAAAATCTACAACGTCTCAGAGTTTGCAATTTTTTAGTCATGAGTGTTCAACCTTAAACCTTTAGATCCGCTGCGCACAGATTTATTGATGAATATGCGATTCATAACTTGTGTATAACAAGATCTTCACCGGTCCCAACAATTGGTATCTGAGCCCATGATTAATTCTTTTTGTACAAAATTCAAATTGTGTGGCTAATGTGGCATTGTGTGTTCAAGCACAGCAATAAAATTGAATTATATTCGCATAACTCGGTTTTTTAGAAAATTAGTTTAATCCAATGTTATGAACGTATGTGTTTGATTTGTTGTTACTTGGGTTTTTAAAACCTTGGACATGTCGAGAAATTTATTGGTTGAATATTTGTAATAATTAAAAAATGGCCAAGGGCCGCCCGGCCCGCCGACCTGGCACGGACCCGGCCAGGTCAAACCCGTTGACCACGGGTCTGGAACTGGATCGGATTTTCGACGGGCCGTTTCAGGGTCATCCATTTCATGACTCGGCCCGAGGGGCCTAGGCCGGGCCAAGCCGATGGTCCGCTTTTTCTATTGTTTTTTTTCTTTTGTTTTTTAAGAAAATGACGAACCCGGCCCGGACAGGACCCGACCCGGGTTTTGGCCATGTCTATGTAATAATTATTCGCTGGGTGTGACACCAAATACTTTTAATTAATTTTTAGACGAACTTGTAAACCCATTTGTGGGTCTATGATCGAAATATGTAATTTTTGTAAATTATATTTGTATCGTGATCGTGATCATGTGCGGAAGAGCGGGAGATCACCGAGACTACGGACCTCGACAACCCGATCGGCCTCGAACCACCGCAGTATCGCAACTAGCCACGCGGGTTTGCGGAGCACGACAGCATGCTGCTAGGTGCACCTGGCGCGCGACTCACAACAGCTGAAGTACGTGAGTTGCATGCGAGGAGCAAGGGAGCTGATTGGATGAGCCCCGGGCGCGGCAGTACAAGGCGTGGTGATCGGGTGACGCAAGATGTGCGGCTGACCAGACGATCACCGGCGCAAGGCGCTGCAGGGAGGCACTCGCGGGCTTGTGCGTGAAGCCCCTTAAAGCGCTGCAGCATGCCGCGTGATTTTCGTGCAGGGCTGGCCGCGCGCGATAAACGCGGGCGACGATGCACCGCCTCGGTGCGCAGTGGTGCAGGTATGCACGATACGCGGGACGCCCGAGGTGACCAACGAAAAAAAAATTTCCGACAACATCCACGATGGCTACTGACGGCAGCGATGGGTGGACAACGGTGACAACTCCGGCTACTTGTGGATGAAGATTTCCTGGACAAGCAGTTGAATAAATAGAGCGTACTTACTTAATATTATTGGTGCATATTTAGTTCATAAGGATTGCATATGCAATTCATACCAAATTCATATTTAATTCATATTAAGTATATAGTGCTTAAAAAAAGTATATTGTGCTCAATGCATATTTACTTCATACTTAGTGTATACTAAGGTGACCGGGTCAACGCCATACGTCAACTGTCAACATGAAAGTCGATGATCAACGCCAGAGTCCACAGTCAGCGGTCAATGATCAAATGGTCAAAATAATATTTAAATAATTATAATTAAAAAATAAAAAATTATTATTTAAGTAAAGAGTTAAATCTTGATCACATCTTCATACCTATCTAATTGCTAAAATTGAGTCTCATATACTTATTTTAAGGTTTTGTCCTTATTGGAACCAATCCATAATTTTATATATATTAGAAAAATGGTACAAATACATAATAAATGTACATAGAGATATGCACCGGAGATTAGGTGAGGTGGCACGGTTGGCCAACAAAAATTCNAAAAAAAAAAAAAAAAAAAAAAAAATCCAGACAAGAGAATATGACATATTACCAGCTTATATCAGTCGCAAGAGATGCAACTTACAACAATATGTACATATAAACAAAAATACAGGTCACATATAGCGACGAGAAGATATTAAGAACATGCAAATGGAATATTAATTCTAAGCCTACTTCATAATCGACAATTTTGGGTAAGAATTCGTCTCTAATCCAGTTTAACTCTATCTGCCTCTAGCTGCTGCTGCTTCTTCTTTGGCTCAGCAGGAAAGTACTTTATGCCTACCAGGTTGCCGACCTCGCTAAGAACCTGACCAAGATAAGCACAGTGCCATGGACAAATAAATAAAAGACGAATTGACTGGCTTAAAACGTGCACAATAAACGATTAGTTAAAACAATGTAAAGGCTGTGCAAGTAAATAAAAACTCGTCTATTGTAGGACATTTACCTCTAAAGCTCTGAGAAGGTCTTCCCTTGAATGAGCAGCCGAGATGCAAATGCGAGCACGTGCCAACAGCAGAGGGGTGGCTGGAAAAGCAACAGTTACCACAGCCACCTATATCATGAAATCAATGATTTTTGTCAGAAAACAAAACTTAAACAAGTGAAGACAAGAGGCCGGGCCGATAAATTGGAAAAGGCTTACATTTCTCTTGAGGCATTCACGTGAAAAAGCAGGAATTTTTGCTGGATTATAGAGCATAACGGGCATGACAGGGGAATCATTGTCGCCTAGAACTTCAAAACCCATCTTCTGCAACTCGGACCTGAAGAAGTTGCTGTTTTCACGGATTTTGGCCAGCTTTTGAGCACCTGTATTTTGAACAAGGTGCATGATGTGTTAGTCAAAAAGTTATCAAATGAAAGGGGGTATCACAGACAAATAGACAGTACAATTTAATGAGTAATAAAAAACGGCAGATAAATATCCTACCTCTGCAAGAACCATCTTCTCCGAGAACGACTTTAATGGAAGATATAATTTGCTGCGCCGCAGGTGGTGATATTGATGTGGCATACAGATGGGCGGGACATGTGTACTTTAAGTACTCAATAAGTTCCTGAAAACGACATTCACTATGGTTATTATGCGCGCGAGTAAGTTGTTAGCCTATCATGTGCAGCAAGATACCATGTGGCATAGGCAAATTAAAAGGACCTACTTAATAAATTTTCTTTGGGGAGAACTGTTTCGTACTTTACTGATTTAACAACATGGCCTGTGACTGATTTAGCAATTGAGAAATGAGGTCTACTATGAAATATAAACCCAAGGAAACAACCTCATATCTTCTGCATAGTTAAATGTCTTGGTAGAAAGTTAAGTAGTTATATCGTATTAAAGTTATAAATTACTTGACATGGCACATAGAAGTAAACATGGAATTGAGGAAAGGAACCTTAGATCCAGCAATATAGCCACCACATGACCCGAATGATTTAGTGAAAGTTCCCATCATAATATCCACATCTGCAGTATCAACGCCTAAGAGCTCACATACACCTCGTCCAGTTTTCCCAATAGCCCCAATGCTGTGGGCCTCATCTAGATAAATGTAAGCCTGTTAAGAGTCAAAATCATCAAAAGCAAAAGACAGATCAGAATAGAGGTGAGAAAAAAAAGGTAGAATAAATATGCAAACAATCATTAAAAAGTAAGATAATTGGAACAAAAAAGAGACAACATCAAGGGGGAAAAGAGAGAAAAACAAATGGATTTAACATTTCGCAGGTGTCAGAAAATGATGTCTCCCAACACACACACAGACAACATCACTAATCAGTATTCCAGAAAAGATAAATTCCTGAGAAACACAATGGTGAAACATCTTAACAGGTTTTTCTTTAAGTGAAATGATTTTCCGAACACAACAAACCCGAGTTTCACTTAAATCATGATTGGATCATAGTGATTATCAACCATTTGGGAGAAATGGTTCTGCTTTGGAAACACACGCACCTTGTATTTTTTGCATATGGAAACTATTTCAGGAAGGTTACAAAGTTCTCCTTCCATACTGTAGATTCCCTCCACCACCACCAAAATCTTTTTCCAAGGTCTGTGTGTTCTGGGCTGTCCGTCAGCAATTTGATCCCTCAGAACCTTCTCCAAATGGGACGGTGCTACAGAAATGATGAGCAACAATCAAGCAACATAGTTATAATATAATTATCTTTCGAGATGGTAAACTCATGAGAGCGAGAGAGAACACGGATAAAAAACAAAAGAAATCAGAAAAGAAATGAAAATGGAGTAAAGGGTAAAAACGATAAACTTACTGTTATGCTGAAACACTCGAACAGTGGCACCAGATCCTCGAGCACCATTCACTATGGAGTTATGGTTGAGAGAATCACTGATAATCAAACTTCCCTGCAATATAGAAATAGCAATGAAGACCTGATGAAATTTGCAAATGGTCAGAGGATATGGGTGTAACTATGTACCTTCCCTGTCAATACAGGAAGAATGGCAGAATTTGTTACATAACCCATGCCAAAAACTACTGCAGCTTCCTTTCCTATAAAATTCGCCACACACTCCTCCAACTCAGCGTGCAATATGGTTGTCCCTGTTCATGCAGTTTTGGCTATCAATACTAAACATTATCAGCTATACCCTCATACACGTATATTCATATGTACAAAATTTACCCCCATCAATCCGAGAACTACAGGTGCTTGGAGAAAATTTCTTCAAGGACTCAATTACACGAGGCGTGCAGTACTCATCTGCTGAAGCAAACCCTAGGTAGTTATACGATCCCAAGTTAAGACACCTTTTCACCTTAGTGGTCCGTCTGAACGAAAGAGTATTGATGCGAGAATAAAATTAATAAGAAGAAGCTTTTACTCAGAAATGCTTGCTATTAAGGTGTAATTCATATTGTAACATTCTATCTGCATGAGGATGTTCAAAAAAGCTGGAGACCATAATATCAAGCAGGACCACTAAAGTGTTTTGGACTAAACCATAAACCGAAATAAAAAATCAAGACTAATGGAAAACATGATCTTCGAAATAGAATTTGAAATCACAATAATGGATAATCAAACTTGGAAACATGTACTTACTTTAATGTTTTGTTATTGTCATTGGAGACACGCTCCACCAAATCGAACCAAGAATCAGGTGGGCTTGCTATTGGTCTATTAAAGCAATCCTGCAAAAAAGTGGATGTTAACGATGTGAACCACAAAATCCAGCTTTTCACGATGCAGGGACTGCGTAATAAACATTTGAAATCCTGCAGTTTCTAAAATTTGCATTATCATGCATACGAAACTCAACGTACGCACTTCTTTCTCTTTTTGCCTTCCAATGACATAGAAAATAGGAGGAGGAAATATGGAAAGAAAAATCTCATTTATGCCATCTTCCCTTTCCAGTTTCTACCATTTTCCCTAACAGCGTAACAATGGATATAACCCGCCCAATGACACCTCACCATGAAGAAAATGAGATAAATGAACAAAAAACCTCAAATGAAAAATAAATTTCAAAACTGAATGAATGAAAATTCATGGACCAGAAAAAATGGGGGCAATTCAACAAGTATAACATACCAAACAATGTCTTGTCCACATATCACAACAGCTCAGGAATAAAAACTCCAAATGCACAGATAACCATAATCAGAGGGGAAAACAGAAACGAACCTGAATTCTTAGATACAGTCTCCGAATGTAGAAATCCTCCAGCCCCAAACAGATCGGCGCATAGCCCTTCCACCATCAGAAAAGACAACAGCATTACAGCTCAAAAACCGAATTTTGAATCTCACTCACAGCCAAAACATTCCAACCTCGAACACGCACAAGCACAAGCAACCATTTATGTCAAAAGAATACCTGTAGGTTGCTCTGGGCCCACCAGTCTACAATCTTGCGGAAAAAGTCGCGCAGCTGGCCGAACGCGAAGAGGAGGCCATAGCTGAAATATGTGGTCAAGGCGGTGAGATAAGGGATCGTGATCATCTTGGAACAGTCGGAGATCAAATCTGGCGGCGGCGACGGCGGCGGCGGAGGAAGTACGATCAGCGCCCCCTCGGATGAGATCCCTATATAGAGAGGTAAGAGTCAGCTGGAGAGCGAAAGTGTGGGGGAGAGTAGGAAAAGTAAGAATGGAGGGAGGGGAGATGATTTAATTTGACCCGTCGTACCCCCTCTCTCTCTCTCTCTCTAACCAATTTTTTATTTTATTTTAATCTTCCTTTTAACTTAACTATTTATATTTATTTAGTATTTATTTATTATTTAATTTTTATGTAACCTACATTTTTTTAACGGCAAATATTTTAATAGGTAAAACTCAAAAAGAGTATAGAGGGGCTAAACTGACACCAAGAAATCTGATAACTTGGACATATACCCTTAAAATTCCAGATGGACTTTTTGAAAAGTGACTTCTCAAAGAAGTCACTTTTCAAAAAGTCCATCTTGAAATGGACTTATCAATAACCTGGACATATACCCTTATCAACAAGAAGTTAACCGCAAAAACAAAACGAAACTCCATAAAAGAGACTAAAATTTCACATAAGAGACTATATCTAGACGAGGTTGGACTAACAAAACTAAAAAACAAAGAAAATGCATGTCTAATGTACAGATAAACTAGACATCCCTACACCAAACAGATCCAATGCACGACCACCAGAGTGGGGACACGAGCCATTCCCATTAGCACAGAAATCCAACAAAGCCGCAAGTCGGAACCTCAAACTGGAATATTGCGGCCACTCGCACCACCTAGATGGATTTGATGAAGAGTAGGTTCTCGATCCAAATATGAACTCTGAAAAAATCTACCACGCCAGGGAGGGGTTGGGCTGCCACAAAGACACCGAAAACTCGCCGGAGGCCTTGAAAGATTGTCCAAACGCGCAGTCGAGGAGCACCCTCAGACAGTACACCAACAGAGCATGAGCCCAGACGCCCCCGACAGGCCGGTAGACTCTAGAGGCTAGGCTCCGACGTACAGTGGCTCTACCTTGGCCGAGTATATTGCGAAGCGATGAAGGCCAACCCCAACCAA